CCAGGGATGGAGGAGTCCCCAAAAAGAACATCCCAGGGATGGAGGAGTCCCCAAAAAGAACATCCCAAGGATGGAGGGATCCCCAAAACAACATTCCAGGGATGGAGGGCTCTGTCTGTGCTCCCACCAGCTCCATCAGGGAAATTCCCAGCACCCAGCTGCCCCTGGCAGTGCCCAGGCCAGGCTGGACGGGGCTGGGAGCCCCTGGCACAGCGGGAGGTGTCCCTGCCACGGCAGGGGTGGCACTGGCTGGGATTGAAGGTCCTTCCACCCCAAAGCATTCCAGGATTCCAGGCTATGGTTCCCAGGTTTTGGGGGAAGAGCTGTGCCCCGTTCCCGAGGGAAGGACACATTTTGGGCAGCAGAAGGTGACCCTGGCTGGGTCCCCCACCCCTTCCAGGGCTGCTTGCTCATCCTGGTGGGGTGGAGGGGGGATGCCCAGGCAGAAGAAGATTCCAGGAGGGCGCTGAGGGCTGAGGCTGCAGCCCCAGGCTCGGGAGATCCATGGCAGCAGCTCCAAGACCCCAGCTGCAGCAGCAGGCACACGGAGGAGGCCACCAGGAAATCCAGAAAGCCCCGAGGGCAGGAGGGGAGGCATCTTCGGGATGGACATTCCAGAGGGTCCCCAAAGGGGGACACGGAGCAGAGCTGGGGTGAGGGGCACAAGGTCGCTCCCTCGGCAGCTCCCCGGAGCCAGGAGCAATCCTCTGCCTCCAAAACAGAGGGAACAGATCCTTGGGGCTCTTCCCAAGCCCAATTTCACAGGATTTTTTCCACGGGATTTCCACCCACTTGAGGGCCAGCCACTGTAGAACAGCCCCGGGTGGTTTTGCAGCACCTCCAAAGCATTCCCACATTCCTCTCCTGGGACTCTCCATCCCTGGAACACACCAGGATCCAGCGCTTTATCCTCAGCGACCTCCAGCTTCCAGAAACATCTCCAGGCTGTAGCTCATCCCAGCAGCTTTCCACCCGGAAAAAGGGATCCCGTGGAACAGCAGCGCTCCAATTCCCAGGGTGTGGATGGCAATTCCAACCCTGGAACAGCCCAGGGGACAGCACAGCCCCACCAGGAGCCAGGCAGCAGCACCACGGGGAGGAGAGAATCAGCACCTGGAGCTGCTCCAGCAGAGAAGGAAAAAACTGGGATTTTTTTTCCTGGTTTTTAGGCTGCCAACAGGTAAATCCATGCGGGGCTCGGAGAGCTGCAGGAACAGCCCCTGACGGGAGTGGGAAGCAGGAGCAGCATCCCTGGTGGCCCAGGGCAACATCTCCAGGTGGGTTTGGTTCCTCCCTCTGGCCGTGGAGAGCAGGATCCGTGTGGGGTGTCCCGAAGCCCCCGTGCCAGGCAGGATCCCAGAGCAGGGCAGCAGAGCTCCAGCCGTGTCCCAGGCAGGTCATTCCCGAGGCAGGGAGAGCCAAGGAGATCATCCTGGCGTGGAGCTGCAGAATTCCCAGGCTGCCAGGGCGCCATCCTTCCCGCACATCCCTCGGGAACAACGTCCTGGAGACTCCCAGGAGGGGCACAAACCCCACCCGGCGCCCAGGTCCTGCTTGTCCCGGGTGTCCCCTGCTGGAAATGCCCCTTCCCTCCCTGCCAGCCCTTATCCCAGGGCTGGGAACGCTGTGCTCCAGCTCCAGCAGCATTCCAGGGACGAGGAGGCTCTGGGGAACCCCAAATCCCCTGCCCAGGGACCCAGGTCCTGCTGGGCGAGCGGCACACGCGGGACCAGGACGTGGAGCAGCACTCCGGCATCCTGGGGTGCCCGAGCCCCTCAGGATGGGGCTCCAAGTGAATTCCAGCCTCAGCTGGGCTGGCAGGACCCCGGCAGGGAGCGGTGGCCCCCAAATCCCCAAAACCAGGAGCTGGGGAGGGAGGGAGGGGTGAAAACCCCCCAGAGCTGCCGGGTGCCTCAGCGGTGCCACACGGAGACGGGGACACAGAAGAGGTTCCAAATTTGGGAGGAAGGCTGGCAAGGAGAGGCTGCTGCTGGAGTGGCTTTAACTGGATTAGGTCCATCAGGCTCCGTGCCTTTGCTCCCAATTTCATGTTCAGCACTTGGGTTCAGCGCCGGCGTTTCACCATTTCCAGGCCTCCAACCAAATCCAGGCTGCCCTGCAGCCCAGCCTCGAGAGCAGGAGCGGCCAGACAACGCCCAGATGGATAAAATTAACAGTTCCTGACCTCAAAAGGGGTAAAAAAATGAGCTCTGCACCATTTCAGGGGGTTTGGGTGCTGCAGCACCTGCCCAGGGTGGTGGGGCAGGGTGGGACAGGCTGGAGCTCGGGGACACTGGGACACCCCAGGGCTGAGCACAGCAGGGCAGGGACGTGTCCATGTGGGCAACCTGCAGAAAGGACCTGCTGAGGGCAGGGAAAAACACCAAATCCTCTGCGCCTGGGGATTCGGGCTGGAGCTGGACCCAAAGCAGCC